CTCTCTCTTTCCCTCCTTTCCCCTCTGTCTAAAAATAAATAAATACAATCTTAAAAAACAAAATCTATGGAAGATTTTTAAAAAAAGAAAAGAAAGGGGAAAAAGTAATGTCCCTGGAGCGCTCAGGTATGAGGTCCTCAGAGCAGCAATAAAAATGCATGTCTTGCACGCCCTGGTGGCTCCTTATTCATGTGGTCATTCCTGACCCCCAATTATATCCACACAACTTGAGGGGTGTGCAGCCTGACTCCTGAGCGGCCTCACGTGGCCCAGGGCTCCCTGCACCAACTCTGGGGTGACATGTACCATTTCCCACAGAGCAGCCAGAGTGATCCTAAGGCAAATACCAGACCACTCACCTTCCTACTTAAACCCTTGTCAACTAAGATCGTTGAAATCTATAGAGAATTTTTAAAAAAGACTTTATTTATTTTTAGAGAGAGGGGAAGGGAGGAAGAAAGGGAGAGAAACCTAGATGTGTGAGAGATACATGGATGGTTGCCTCTGGCACTCCTCCAACTGGGGACCTGGCCCACAAGCTCTGGCATGTACCCTGACTGGGAATCGAACTGGCAACCTTTCAGTTCTCAGGCTGGTACTCAATCCACTAAGTCACACCAGCCAGGGCCAAATTGATAGAAGAAAAATTTTTTAAAAGATTTTATTAATTTATTTTTAGACAGAGGGAAAGGGAGGGAGAGAGGGAGAGAAGCATCAATGTGTGGTTGCCACTTGCGTGCCCCTACTGGGGACCTGGCCTGTAACCCAGGCCTGTGCCCAGACTGTGGGTTCACAGGCCGGCGCTCAATCCACTGAGCCACACCAGCCAGGGCTTGATAGAGAATTTTTATAAAAATTGATTTGAGCCAAACAGAGGATAGACCTGGAAGCAGGATTTCAACAAACAGAGATAAATGTTTCCAAGGCAATGACAGTTTGCAGCTTCTATTACGCATTTGGAATTAAGGAAGGTTTCATGAAGGTGGGAGGAAGGTCTGGATGGGATTACAGGATAGTTAAGACTATATGCTCTCTTGAGGGCGATCTCACTTTAGAAGGAGGGGTCTGGTCTGAAAAGGATGGTCACATATTAGAAGGAGGGGTCTGAAATGAGGCATCTCAAAGATGTGTTAACCCACATGCACGGAAGGAACAGACAGGGCTTGCTTATGGCAGAGATAAATCTTTTACTAAAGGTGTTATGTGCCTGGTGCATGACTACCCACATGACCTGCCAAGTTGAGAATTTATGAGCAGCTTGCCCGGTGAGGTTCCTGTCCACAGATGCCCCTCTTCACCCACACCCTCCATGCTGACCCTGGACTTGGACTGGACTCAGTCCCTTACCGCAGCCCCCCTGCACTGGCTCCCTGGGACTGATCTGGGAGCCTTTCCACCTTGTGCTCTAGTTGCAGGAGCTCCCTGGGGTGTGCCAAGAGCCCGACCTTCAGTTTCTCAGTGGCTCATCCTTCCCATTTCTGCTGAAATCACCTCCTCCCAGAGGCTGAGTGGTTTATTTGCACAATAAAGTTTGAGGAGCACTGCTATAAAATAAATTACAAGATACTGAAGAAAGAAATGGGAGAACATACAAATAACTGGGAGCATATATCATGCTCACGAATGGGAAGAATTAACATCATTAAAGTGTCTATACTATCCGAAGCAATCTAGAGATTCAACCCAGTTCCTATCAAAATACCAATGGCGTATTTCACAGAACTAGAAAAAATAATCCAAAAGTTTATATGGAACCACAAACGACTCCTAACAGCCACAGCAATCTTGAGAAAGAAAAACATGGTTGGAGGTATCACATTACTTGATATCAAACTATAATACAAGGCTACAGTAATTAAAACAGCACAGTACTGGCCTAAAAACTGACATAGAACAATGGAACAGAATACAGAGTCTCAAAATAAACCTACACTTATATTGTTAATTAATATTTTCCAAAGAAGGCAAGAACATACAATGAGGTAAAGACAGTTTATTCAATAAATGGTGTTGGAAAAATCACATAGATACATGCAAAAAAAAAAAAAAAAAAAGGAAACTAGACCACCTACCTACACCATACAAACAATAAACTCAAAATGGATTAAAGATTAAATGTAGGACTTGAAACCATAAAATTCCTAAAAGAAAAGATAGGCAGTAAAATCTCTGATATTACTTTTAGCAATATTTTTTTCTGATACATCTCCTGGGGCAAAACAAACAAACAAAATAAACAAATGGGACTACATCAAACTAAAAAGTTTTTGCATCATAAAGAAAACATTTTTCTTAACAAAATGAGAAACAAAATTTGAGTAAACAAAATTAACAAAATGAAAAGACAACCAACTGAATGGGAGAAGATATTCACCAATGACACAACTGATAAGGGGTTAATATCCAAAATTTATAAAGAACACATACAACTCAACAGCAAACACCCCACCCACCTATCAATCCAATTATAAAATGGGCAAGGACCTGAACAGACACTTCTCCAAAGAAGAGATACAGATGGCTGATAGACATATGAAAAAAAGCTCAACATCACTAATCATCAGAGAAATGTAAATTAAAACCACAATGAGATATCACCTCACACTTGTCAGAATGGCTGTCATCAATAAATCAGTGAACAACAAGCGCTGGCGAGGATGTGAAAAGGGAACATAAATATTGCAGAAGAATAGGGAAATGAACTGGGCTGTATGTGAAACTGTACATTCATACTCACATAAAGACACAGTTCACTTTTCAGTGCACAGTTGCTGTGTTCTGTGTCCCCAGAGGACAAAGGTCACTTCCTCTTTTTGTGCACCCCCAACTCTTAAACATTTCTCTTTACTGTATCCATTACATTATAATAAAACTGCTTTGGTTTCTGCTTCATGGACTAGACTACAAGCCCCTCCAGGGCAAGAACAGTGTTCTCCTCATTCCTGATACACAACCAGTCTTGGGAATAGGGCAGGCATCAATGAATGTTTGTCAAATTAATGAAAGGAAAATTGCAGGGAGATGAGGGGCAACTTTGTACCAAACAAGCTTGAACGTATGAGGGAGAGTGGGGGTCTATAATCATTTAGGAATCAGCCTAGACTAGTTTTTAAACTGGAGAAGTGTGTGCGCGCGCACGATCTGTTCAGAAAGTATCCAGCCATATACTATGAAAAATAGAGACATTTACTGAAGATACAAAAAACATTGTACAGAGGACAATGACACCTCAATCCCCTTCAAAGTAGGCACTTTGGGACCTCACACAGTTCTCTCAATCGCTATCAACTGTCCTGTGGTATTTCTTTGAATCTCAACAGTGTGAAATTTCTTCCCTTTCAAAGATGACTTTAATTTTGGGAGAAGCCAGAAGTCATAGGGTGACAAATCTGGGCTGTAGGGGGGCTGAGTCACCTGGGTGATTTGCTGTTTCGTCAAAAACCTCTGCAGGAGATGTAATGCATAAGCAGGTTTGCTGTTGTGATGAAGCTGCCAATTACCAGTTGCTCATAGCTGCGGCTTTCTGAATCATCCCAATAGTTTCCACAGAGGAATGTTCAAGCTTAATGCAAAATTTGATGCAGAATGGTTGCTGTACTCTCTGTCATTTTGAATGTGAGATCCACACAGTCTACATGTTCACCCAGCAGGCGTCTACCGCCCTCACTGGCTAGTACAGTGAAGTCCTCATTGTTCAGGCATGCGCATTCCAGTCCAATCTCCTTGGTTGCCAGGTTACCTCAATGTCTCGCAAACCACTGTCCTTATGTTAACAATAGCTGGGCTTTTTCTGGACAGGCCTCATATACCAGAATACAGGTTTGTGTACCACCCCAAACTGAAACATAATAGTCCTTGGATGTGGTCAAACATTCCATTTTATCTCAGGGCAGCTGGTTCACAGATAACATATTAAACTTTCCCAGATTAGTCTGCACAGCAAGCAAATTAACCATTAGAAACCTGATTGCGCCCTGGCTGGTGTGGCTCAGTGGATTAAGCGCAAGCCTGCGAACCAGAGGGTCGCCAGTTCACCCCTCAGTCAGGGCACATGCCTAGGTTGCAGGACAGGTCCCCAGTAGGGGGCGCACGAGGGGCAACCACACACTGATGTTTTTCTCTCTCCTTCCTTTCCCCTCTCTATAAATAAATAAAGTCTTTTAAAAAAGAAGAAAAGAAAGGAAAAGAAACCTGACTGCCCTGCAGATTACCTGACAGGGTTAGTACAGAAGCCCAGATAGTTGGTGCACTTTTGGGTACAGTCAAGCAGCTAGTTCTGCTAAGGGCTGTGAAGCAGGTCACACAGCCAGGTCTGGACAGCTCTTTTCACTTCCTCCATCTCTACCTTACCCACTGCCAGGTAAAATGCAGAGCAAGCTGGCAAGCGTGTTTCTCAGGCTACTGGCACCACCTCAGAAAAGGATAGAGACCAGACAACTAGAAGCAGGGGTAAGCCAGGGCTCCATCACCAAGGCCAGGAGGAATTCATGGGTAAGAAGAAGGCCTTCTAGAGCTCTTGGAAGTGTGGCGCATGAGAGAAGGGAGGGTAGATACTAGGGGCGGCGGAGCCTGGAGACTGGGACGACGGAGAGTCAGGAAGGAATGGTGAGGGAGCTACGAATCTGGCGGGGGAGGTTCTGTGGATCTAACAGAAGGCGTGGGGAGGGATTACAGTTCAAGAGCTTGGGAGGAGCTGCGCTCTGCTGGGTGAGGAAGGCGGGGCAGAAACACGCGCGGCCGGAGCGTGAGAAGGCCCTTGACCATTTGCAGGCAGGGTCCCGATTCCTCGCGTGCCGCGGCCTCGACTTCCAGGAGCTGGCCCGCGGCACGAGTCCGGGAGTCCCCGGGTGCGTCACGCAAGGGGGCGGCCCGGGAGCCAGGGGGTGTGACCGTACACCCGGGTGCTGGCCCGCGTTCTCTCCCCGTGCTCCCACCACTCCCCGCGCAACGAACGGGCGAGCGAGAGGCTCCCTTCCTCTGAGACCCTCCCCCGGACTCACCTTCTTCCCTCCCCACTGGCTGGGCCCCAGACACGGCTTCCCACAGGCGGCACGCCCTCTCGCGGTCGAATCGCAGCGCGTCCGGTTCCCGACCCTCCAGTTCCTCGGAGCTGTTATAGGGCCGGGCCCCTCCGCTGTCCGTGGCCTCCACCGCGCCCAACGCGGGATATTCCATCTTCCCCGCAAACCCAAACCCGCAGATAGCCGCTCATGAATCTTGGTCTCGCGAGATGTGGCGGGGAGGGTGACTTTGCCTGGCTAACAGATCTCGCGAGGTTGGGAGCGGCAGACTGTCTTGCGGTGCCCGCCCTGGCGGTTCTTTTGCCTGGTGGCTGCTTGGGATCTCGGATCGTGTGCTGGAGATTCGGTAGTTGGTCGGCAGGTCTGCGGCAGCCCTCTCCCTTCTGGACGGGCTTGTACAGTCCTTGTCTCTGGGTTCTCACTTTGCTCACCGTCAACCTTGGACACTTCTCATTTCGTTCTCGTTGAAGGCTGTGTTATGTGGGAATATTTTCCCCCATTTCACTGGTGGGGAAACTGAGACCCAGAACGTAGAAGTGGTTTGTTCCAGAGCTTACTGCCGCCCTGACCGGCGTGGCTTACTTGGTTGGGCGTCTTCTACAGAGCGAAAGGTCACCTGCTGGATTCCCGGTAGGGCATCTGCCTAGGTTGCAGGTTTGGTCCCTGGTCCGGGCGTGATGTTTCTCTCTTGCATCAATACTTCTCTTCCTCCATTCCCCGCTCTCTAAAAATAAATAAATAAAATCTTAAAAAATAAAAAAGGAAAGGGCACTACTAGTAAGTTAGTGGTAAAGCAGAACTCCATCTCCATTATTAAATAGGTACCATTTGAATTCCAATTGCTAATCCTCTTCCCAGACCTCTTTAAACTCCTTTCTTAAGTAAGTGTCAATTTCTTAATTATATTGGAGCCACCATCTCTTGCCAAGGTTATTATTACAGAGTCCACTGGTCCCTTTCTTTGCCCTTCAGGTATTCCCAGCACAGCAGCCCCACCGATCCTCTTGAAAAAAGCCATGTTATGACATCCTGCTGTTCAAACTCTCCACCTTCACTCTTCACTCTCACTCTTCAAATAGCAAAAGTGCTGAATTTAGCCAACAGGACCCTACCCGATCTGACTTTAGTTCACCTCTCTGGCCTTATTTCCCACTGTGTTTGCTAGCCTCCAGCCCGTTCATTCTTGTGCCAGTTACCCCACCTCCTGAAATGCATTTCCCCGCATGGCTCAGTCTCTCTTTTTCTTCTTTGGCTACTGTATCTAAAATTTTACTTCTTCACACACACCCTATATCATTTCTTGCTTTATTTATTTTTAATTTTTTTATTTATTGGGTTTTTTTGGGAGGGGGAGAGAAACAGCCATTTGTTGTTCCACTTACGTATGCACTCATCGGTTGATTCTTGTATGTGCCCTGATTGAGGACTGAACCCACAACCTTGGCATATTAGGAGGACTCTCTAACCAACTGAGTTGCTTGGCCAGGGTGTGTGTATTTTTCCCTCCTTAACGCTTACCATTATCAGACATAGTTTATGTTTTACTTTTTTATTTGGTTAATTGTTTGTTTACCCCACTAAAAAGTAATACCCAGGACAGGGATTTTTGTGTATTTTTTTCTCAGCTGAATCGTCATCACCTTGAAAGAGGGCCTGGACCCTCATAGGTACATGTAAAATATTTGTTGACCGAATGAGACTTGATGTAATTATCTTATTTCAATCTTATTTATGCAAATGATTATGTAGGATTAGATGTTGTTTTGGCTATTGGAATACAGTGGTGAACTTAGACAGGGAAGCTCTAGTAGATTGTTTTGTATTCTAGTGGAGGAGAGTGTAAAAAACAAGAAACAGATAGTAATAAATACTAAGGAGAAAAATAAAACAGGAATATACCTTGGGTGAGTAATATGGGAGGAACATTAGGATAGTTAGAGAAAAGCTCTAAAAAAATGACATTTCACCTAAGACCTTAGCAATGAGGAGGGATGACCAAAGAGCTGGGAAGACTGGTCCAGGGAGAAGGCACAGCAGGCGCAGAGGCCCTGAGGCAGGAATGAACTTACTGTGTTGGAGCAACTAGAAAAAAGGACAGTATGGCTGGAGCCCAGCGAACAAAGAGGAAAGTGGTAGCAGCGGATGCCAAAGATACGGAAATTTTTCTTTCCTGAGATCACACAGCTCATCGGTGGAATTTAGTCATTTATAGAGGTTTTCAGCACAAGCTCTGTTAGGCCTCATGCCAGCCTCTGGAACTTCCAATGCAATAGATGACTAATGTTTGTGCGGTGCTTTGCAGGTTATGAAGCACCTTTAACATACTCTGTAACATTTAATCCTCAAGGTGGTTCTCCAATGAGGGATTTCTACATATTCAGCAATGAAGAAAATGACTGGGAGATGTGGATTTTTTATCAGGGTCACATAACTTAGTGACAGAACCCACACTTGAACACTGGTCCTCAGACTGCGAATCCATATCCTTTTGCTAATGCCTGGTGACCAGCCTAAAAGCCAATGGTTATATGTATTTATCTTAAAGATTTCTAGTTACTTATATTTGCATAGCACGAGTTATTCAGCTAGAAATCACAAGCGATAGAGGGCATTTTTGTTAAAGTCCCAGAACTGGTGGACATTTTTTAACACAATAGAGCAAATCCTGGGAGTGGAGTACTCACTTAAGATGCTGTGTGTATTGGAAAACAGCCTCCCTCCCCCCGTTCCCAATCCCATTAAGTGCTATTTATTCAAGGACTTGAATAAACAAAATAATTTCTATTTATTCTCCAATGAATGCCATCAGGGTTTGTCCCCTGTGCCACTGAGGCAGAGTCCTGAGCTACAGCTCTGAGTGGGTGAACCGCCCTCACTGTCCCCAGTTTTCTGCTACGTGTTTTTGTAAGTCCTTCCCATGATGCCTAGGCCTGTTCTCCTTGCTGGGACCTGGCAGGCCAGGTGGTACGATGTGTTTACAGGGCTGGCTTTTTATCTCTTCCCTGCGGGAAATGAGAACCATTTCTCAGCATGCTCTGTGTATTGTTGCTATTAGAGGAGACCAGTCCCAAGGGAATGGCTTTGCCATGAGACAGGAACTGGCCACAGTTTAGCAGACATTTCAGTTGGGCAAACACTGTGTGTGTGTGCAGCTAACCCACACTACAGAGCTGAGTAACATATAGTTCTTGCTCTCAGGGACATTAAACTCTAGAGGAGAAACTATCTACTATATACATAATATCACAGAGTATGTGTTAACTGCTATAATAGAAGTGACAACTGTTTTGATTGTACCTGGGATTTAATTGGTAGAGGTGACTAAATGATGACATGGGAGTTCAATGCCACTGAAAGTTTTTTAAAAAATTTATTGATTTTTACTTCACTTTTTATCCTTCCCTGAGGACATGCTCATTGATTTTAGAGAGGGGGAGGGAGGGAGAGAGAGAGGGAGAGCCACATCGGTGTGAGAGAGAAACATCGATTGGCTGTCTCTCTTATGTGTCCCAATTGGGGATCAAACCCACAACCTAGGTATGTGCCCTGACTGGGAATCGAACCCACAACCTTTCGGTTTACTGGGATGATTGTTCAGCCAACTGAGTCACACTGGCCAGGGTGAATGTTTTATTACTCATAGTTCTCAAGAGAGAGGGGTCACGCCACACCTTGGCAGGGCCTGATGGGGAAGCACCAGGGTTGGTTAGGGAGCAGAATGGAGAGCAAAGCCCAGAGTCTTCATTGTGGTTTCTGGAGACAGGAATGGGTGAGGCGAGGTAAACAGCCTAGGATTGGCTAGTTTGAATAATTTCAGCAGGCTCTGAGCTATAGGGGTGGGTCCCTATTGCCTGGGGTGACTTAGGGTAGGGGGAGTCGGGGCTGGTGTGTGAGTTAGGCAAAGGAGGTGGTGTGGGGACGGGCTTTGGATTGTCAGTTTGTACAGGAAAGGTGTGCTTGAAGGCACAGTGTATGCTGTCTCTAGGAATCACCTCACCCTGCCGAGGCCAGTCCCCCTTGGTCCACAAGGCCCCAAGATGTGAAAGGATCAAAATACAGAAAATAAAACATGATACAACAACCAAGACTTACAATGGATGAGGCGTAACAACAAAGCCACTGTTGTGGGGATCATGATGGTATCTGGGTTACCCCATATGAGACTTTCTGCTTCTCAGGCCTGTGAACATGTCTGATGGTTAGAGGTGGCCACAGATTAGGCTTTACAACACGACTTGAACAAGTGTTGTTGGACTCAGAACCTGAGGAGTGATCCAAAACAGCTGAGGACAGCTGTGGACAAGCCACTTTGGGTGTGGCTTTTTGCTACAGTTCTCCCTGGGCTGTGCTATTCTATAGCACCTTCAGGGCTGCAGGGAAGCAATGTCTGAGGGGCGGGGGTGGCTCGGGGACAGGCTTAAATTCACTGACTTTCCAACGACAAATCAAGGGTGTAGAGGAGTGTGCTCATCCCAGGATGGGATTTCCAGAAGTTTTCGAGAATGAGGGGGAGGAGGGGGATTAGTCTGGATTCCAGCAGTGCTGCCCAACTTTCTCCAGGCCACAGCCCGCTTGGAAAATAAGCACATCTGTGCGGCAAGTCAGAACAAGCCGATAAGGCCGCCTCTCCTCATCACCCCAGCGGCCGTCCAGGGACTGTGATGAACACCATATCAGCAAAATTCCACTTTTCTCCATAGTTTTTAGAACCAGTTTCAGTTCATAGTATGTGCTTTTGATTATGGATCAGGGTGATTTAGTGCAGTTTAAAGTACCCCAGGAAGCCTAGAATGGCGGAAGATGAGCCAGTGAAACTCTATGATCTCTACTGAAGGATTACCAAGAACTTGGGGTAGCTCTTAAACTGGTACTGTAGTTTGAGTCACATCTAATCGATAGTCTTCACTTAGAGCCTACTGTATTTAGTGCCCGCGTCTTAGTTCATTCAAGCTGCTATTACAAAATACCATAGACTGAGCAGTTTAAACAACACACATTTGTTTCCCACAGTTCTGGAGGCTGAGAAACCCCAGATCAAGGTGCTGGCATGTTGGGTGTCTGGTGAAAGCCTTCCTCCTGGTTCACTGATGGCCTCTTCTCCCTCTGTGCTCACAATGCAGAAGGGGGTGAGGGAGCTCTCTGGGGTCCCTTTTATAAGGGCACTGACCCCATTCATGAGGGCACCACCC